AATAGCGAAGCGAGCGTGGGCGTCACGAGTCTGCCACTGTGAGCGCTGAGTGCTGTCTGCAGTGGTAGGAGGGGCAGTAGCGTGACCGAGGGCATGATCGTACAGCGAAATATCCTCCTTGGCAGTGAGCTGTAGGAAGAGGTGCAGGTCATCTAGCCAGGTGTCAAACTTCACTGGGCGGCCCTCAGCATCGAAAGCAAGTACGGGAGGACTAGCCATAGTGGCAGCAGCAGTAGCAGTAGTAGCAGTAGCAGTAGTAGCAGTAGGAGCAGTAGTAGGAGCAGCAGTATCGACGGGGCTGCTAGTACGGGCGGCGCGGCTCGGTCGGGCGGCGCGGCTCGGGTCAGGTAGGGCGGCGCGGCTCGGTTCGGGCTGCGCGGCTGCGCGGAGCCGCTAAGCGGGGCGGTACGGGGCCGCGGGGGCCTCTAAGCGGGGCTCGACGGGGCCGCGGGGCCGCTAAGCGGGGCGCAACGGGGTCGCGGGGCCGTGAGGTGGGGCGCGACGGGGCCGCGGGGCCTTTAGGCGGGGCTCGACGGGGCCGCGGGGCCGCTAAGCGGGGCGCAACGGGGTCGCGGGGCCGTGAGGTGGGGCGCGACGGGGCCGCGGGGCCTCTAAGCGGGACGCGACGGGGCCGCGGGGCCTCTAGGCGGGGCGCGACGGGGCCGCGAGGCCGTTAGGTGGGGCGCGACGGGGCCGGGGGGCCTCTAAGCATAGCGCGACGGGGCCGCGGGGCCTTAGGCGAAGCGCGACGGGGCCGCGGGGCCTCTAAGCGGGGCGCGATCGACGGGGCCAGCGGGGCCGGAAAAAAAAGAAAAGCGCTCGAGGGCGCTAAGGGGGGAGGCGCTAAAGCGCGCTCCGATAGTAGGGCGCACGAGGGCGCTAGTAGGTAGTAGGTAGTGGTGGGCCCGAAGAGAACTTAGGTCCTAGCGAAGGACCTGCTCTGAAACCATGTCAGAATGAACGGACTGGAATGATTGAACTAACAGTGAAATCAGTACAAGTACCTAACCCTAGAATTGTGTACCCCCTATAGGCTAACCCACTGTAGCCTAAACAACCACAACATATATATAATGTTTGACACCTGTTCCATCTGCTGTCACTTCTACTGCTTGTACAAGGCCGAATTTTCCTCCGCCCATTCCTTCTTCATCCGCTTCAAGGAGACAATCTACCCATGCTTGAAAATGGGCAATCATGGCAGACTTTTCCGTAGGGCACCACAACCCATATCACAACAGCGGAGCCGGCCGAGCTAGAGGTAACCAAAGAGTTGAGTAGCACCAACTGCCAGATCTCCAATGCAGCTACAAATGCCTTTTACACTAGCTTCACCAGGTTGCTTCCCCGTATTTTCCTCAATAAAGCTTGTGTGCTTTTGAGCATGGTTTCGCATCCACTCCCATAATCACCATATTTTTAAAGCGCCACAACCTCTTCTCTTTTCACAATAGATCTTGATAGATGAGTAATACAAAATAATGGAAAACCATTCGCTCAATTTCCACCTCCTCTTTGACCGTTACCATGAGGCGAATTCCTTATGGGAACTTCATAGATTTCTCACATGTCAGCTTCTTACAATGGCTCCTCCCATCCCAATGTTTCAACCGATTTTTTTTTTTAATTTTTTTTTTTTGTACCGTGAAGTTGTCCACACTTCGAGTAACTCGGCAACTGCCTTCATGAGGCTGCGCTTCAGCTGATTGCTCTTTGATATTAATAGGCCATCTCTCCTTGTCAATATACAAGTGAGCACGATTCCAAATCATGCACTCCAGTCCCCTCAACAGACCCGCTCTAGAGTAGGAAACCCTTTGCCATAGAGAGGCTCTTCTCTCACTCTAGATTTCTATCGGTGGAGGGTAAACCTACGCCTAGAAAGCGATGATGGGCGTGATGTAGTATTTCACCACCGTTGCCCTAATGGTGACTATGATATATTTCTGTTGTCACCACTTCACCATATCCATTGCTGATTCCAAGGCTCTCACATGACCAAGACGATCAACAAACCTTGCTTCCTTTGCTCTAGCCGTTTGAAGCCACTCGTGCTATTGGGGCTCTGGTTGAGGTTCACACCAAGATATAAGACTGATTTCTCCTTTTTGTCGCCAGGCCTGACATGCACTCAAACTTGTGTAAAGACATTTGGAAATCTGACAATCTGCTTCGCTTGCAGGATGAGCATCGTATCATCTGCATGCTGGCCAATGTCCCACCTTGTTGCCCAAACCCAGCTACCTTCTCACAACCTCTTGTAGTGAATGCCAGAGCATGGAGGTAAAGGTACGACATAAGCGAGCAAGACGTCAGGCACATTGGACTTCCTTTCCAAGGGAAATATTATGGTGTAGCGTTAATATTCGCCAACAACGATCAGGGATCAGTGCTTCTGGCGCCGCCCAGGAAAAGGGGTAGGGCCCCAAACCTCCATGTGCAAGATCTTAAGAGGTGCAGTGGTAGGACGAAACGAGGAAGACGCGGCGCATTGGCTGCCCACGACGCAAGGGGTGGCGAGGAAGGGAGAGCAGGGAGCGACGACAGGGTGACCTAAGATATGACAATGCTGAGCTACGCTACGGAGACGCGGGAAGGCGCGGTGACCTAGACGACGCTTTTGAACAGTAATTGGGTTGCAACTATTGTACCAAGCGTAGCAGGTTTTAAATGGGAATATATCATACGCAAGAATCACAAAGAGCTGATTAGATGAGATGAGAGCAATCGAGAGAAGAGTAGGGGAGAAAGAGCAGGGAGAAGAAAGCAAGGTTGAGCATAGCAAGGTCATCGTTCCATAACAAGACTCACTTTGGGTGTCTGAATTACCTCCATTCCCTAGAAAAACTCCATCTTGCACCCCACTTTGCACCCTATCCAACACTTCGCCTTGTTGCAACCTGTTTCGCCTTCCACTCCTATCCTCCTCATTTTTCCTTCTTCATCCCCCCAATCTGCCTCCCCTCATTCGTTATGCTCCTTCTACACCTTTCTCTTAAGATCCCCTCGCTTGCCATTGTCGGTCTTGCGGTTGGTAGCAACACAAGGAGGGGACGTATAGGAGAAGGGGAGATCGCAGCAGTAGGAGGAGCACTAGCAGCAGCGGCAGCGATAGCGGAGAGCGTTATTCTGAAGTTGCTCAGAATCCGAGCTCAGGATAAGTGACCCTCGGAGGAGGAGGAGGAGGAGGAGGAGGAGGAGGAGGAGGAGGAGGAGGAGGAGGAGGAGGAGGAGGAGGAGGAGGAGGAGGAGGAGGAGGAGGAGGAGGAGGAGGAGGAGGAGGAGGAGGAGGAGTCCAATGAGGGGTAGCGACACTTGGAAGGCAGGTGTGCGTGCAGTAGCAGCATTATATGGAGGGGCTATAGGCCTAGAGGGGCACACAACAACACTAGTAGCAGAAAGCGGAGCGGTGCAAGCAGAAGCACTCAGCAGGACTATAGCATTAGATGATCATAAACCATATAAGCATGTGGAACGAAATGAGCCGCATAGTCGTTTGGCGTCAGTAGGGCGCACCCACCACACATGCACATGGCAAAGAAGATGATGGAGCGAGACACAGATCATGTGGAACTGAAGGGCACACGTCTCGTACCCCTGTGTTGCAACCATTTTTGAGGCGCCTCAATAGTTGTGCAGTGTGGGTCTGAAGGGCACGCCTCCTACCCCTGTGTTGCAACAACTTTGAGGCGCCTCAAAAGTCGTGCAGTGTGGGTCTGAAGGGCACACTCCTCGTACCCCTGTGTTGCAGCAGCAGACAAGGGAAGAGGGAATGGTGCAAGCACTGGCTCTCACAAAGGCTGAAGGATGTGTTGGCTAGGTGGAGGGAGGATGTGGTGCGATGGGGTGTGGTGAGAGGCGAAGGGGGTGGTGGGAACGGAAAGGATAAGTGTGTGTGGAAAGGGGGATGGGAGGAGGAAGAGGACAACGCAGAGCTCTCCATTGCTCTCACCATGCTCTCACCTACATCACCAACACCCCCTGTCATAATACCTCCTCCTCCTCCACCTCTACGGCGTGCTCCACTCTCCCTCCCCCATACCTCAACCCCTCCTTTTCCCCACCTACTCACTCCCCTCTCCTCACCCTGTCATCCCCTCCGTTGTTGCTACCCCGTCCTTTCTTGTCACTAGTCCTGACTCTTCTCATACACACGCCCCAGTTACTGCCACTAATAAGCGTGTGACTGCCACTAGCACGCGTATGAGTGCCACCAGCTGAGGCATCACGGGCGCCATAGTGCAACAGGGGCATGGACGGAAGCACAGGAGCGGCTTTGCCTCTTCCTCTCTTTTGTCCCGAGTAGTTTGTAACGCTGGTGCGGATATTTTGAATGTCCTGCACTTGTCTGCTGCGAGTCAGACTAAAGAGAGGATAGCCCGGGCCCAACATGTGGTGTGACGGTCGCTTTGGCAGGTCTGAAAAAGGCGGGAAAACATAACGAGAATGATTACATATGTTACCACACCACATCTTCGCTAAGAATCTCGTTAGGCATCAGACCAGTCTTGTCCAGTTGCGACGATTTGTATATCCCTCGCCAGAACTCGCCAACCCCCTGCGGCACCAACGAATGTGTAGTAGGGCAGTGTAGTCAGTCAGTTCTCATGATGAGACCACGACTTTTTCCTGCAACGGCTCTCTCGGTAGTTCATCGCTAGGGACATCAGGCCGACTCGTCGACGTGACTCGTCGACGTGATTCGTCGAATCCACCTTGTAAATAGTCGCCTCGCATTACCCATCTCGCTCCGTTACTTTGTCAATCGTGCGTTGTGGACTTCATTGCTCTGTTCGTCTTCTTCAAAATGCTTGGACGCACTCGGAATGCTCGGACGCATTAGCCTTGGGCTCATTCTTTTCGTCCGCATCGTGTCTGCCGGCCGGAAATTTTCAAATCGACCGTTCCACGCTTGAAGATCCGCGTGCGAATTTCCCCTCCTCCCTCCTCTTCCTTCTATTCCGCGATAACGGCTCCATCTCCCAGCATCCGCGTTAACAATGGCATCGCGAAAAGCAGCCGAGCCGAACCACCCAGCGTCAGACTCCCTAGCATTCACTCTTGATTCCAACGGCCTAAACTCTCTCGAATCTTCCGCTGCTCCTCCTTACTCCAGTCCCGCTGGTTCCGAGGGTTTCCCAGCAAGCCTTCTGTCGCCCGGATTCGGCGGCTCGAACGACGACGAGGAGTCGCTACTTAATCGCCTCGGCTTCTCCGCGTCGCCTCCTTCCCCTCCATACCCCGGCGCCGCTGCTAACGCCGCTGCGGGTGCCGCTGGTGGTGCCGATGCGGACGGTTTCGGAGAGGTAATGGGAGCAGCGCGGGGGGGGTAGGAGGAGGGAGGGAAAGAGGAGCCGCGGTGCCAGGAGCGGGGAACCGCGAAGGCTATGCAGGGGGAGGGGTGGGCGAAGGAGGCGCGGGAACATCGGGGGAAGCGTTGGGGGGAGCTTCCGTGCTGGGGGGCGCGGGGGCGAGGGCGGGCGCAGGAGGCGGCGGCGGCGGCGGGGGGGGAAGGGGGCGTCGTTCGCGGGGCTGCAGCGCGCGGGCATGCTGTCGCGCGAGCAGCTCATGGCGTTCTTCCGCGCATTCACCGCGCTGCTCGACTCCAAAGGTACTCCCACTCCCCCTCCCGCCCCCCATTCCCCCCACCCTTCCCGCTCCCGCCCCTCCTCCCCCTCCCTTCACACCTCACCGCTCCCCTTCCCTCAACCCCTCTCCTCTCCCTCCTAACCTTCCTCTCCCTCCTCCCCCCTTTCCCCTCTCGTCACCACGTTGCTCCATTCCAGGATTTCCCTTCCCCACTTGTTTTCTAAGCAACACCTTCCCCACGTCCCCCTTGCCGCATCCCAACTACCCCCACCGCCCCTCTCCCCACCGCTTTCTCTTCCCTTGCCTGATGATGTTCCTTGATGGCATGGTATGGCATGGCATGGCATGGTATGGCATGGCATGGCATGGCATGGCATGGCATGGCGTGGCGTGGCGTGGCGTGGCATGGCATGGCAGAGGCACGGGCACAGATCAAGAGCAGCGTGCAGGAGGGCAAGGTGAGGCGTGTGGTGTGGCGCACTTGCTGCTGCACAATCACTCTTGCGCTCATGTGCTTACACACGCACGCACGCACGCACGCACGCATGCGCACACACACACACACACACACACACACACACACACACACACACACGCTCACTCCCACTCCCACCCCTCCCCCTCTCCTCACTGCTCCTTCCTCTCCCTCCCTCCTCAACCTCCTCCGCATGCCCATCTGCTGTGCTTCCATCTCGTCCCCGCCACCCTCCAATCAAAAGTCTTCTTCCAATCGCCTACATCTCTAATATCAACCTCCTTCCATCTGCTCATCTCGTCCTCTCACTTCCCCTTTCCCCTCCTTTCCCCTCCCCCATCTCCCCTCTCTCCCCCCTCTCTCCCATTCCCTCTCTCAACCTCTCCCCCTCTCCCCCTCCCCCCTCTCCCCATCCCCCCTTCCCCTCTCACGACAGACAGCATCCTCAGTGACGCGTCTCTTGAAGGAGCAGGTTCTGCTCGACATGGGGATAGGTGCGCGCACACACTCATACACACTCTTGCAGGCATGGGCGCACAGGCAATTCCACAGGGATGGGCGCACAGGGATGGGCGCACAGGGATGGGCGCACAGGGATGGGCGCACAGGGATGGGGCAAGGGCACGGGCATGGGCATGGGCATGGGCATGGGCATGGGCATGGGCATGGGCATGGGCATGGGCATGGGCATGGGCATGGGCATGGGCATGGGCATGGGCATGGCATGGGCATGGGCATGGGCCTTAACCTTGAATCGTCAGTAGTTTTTTTTCGCTTCTGTGCCGTCAAACCCTTTTGTGGCTTTTGCTAGTTGCTGTCTTCCGTTGGTGCCCCTAGCGTTCTTCCCGTTCTTGCCGGCAGCCCCCATCCCATCCCCATTGCTCCCTCCCTTGCACTTCTCGCCGCTCACTCGCTTTTGCATGGCAGCGATTCGCCTTTGTTTCCCTTCTCCCCGTCGCTCCTCACGTGCACTCCCCCATCTCGTGCGTGTGTGCAGAGCCGCAGTTTGGCATGACGTGTCTGCTGGCCGTGCCACTGGACTACAGAGAGGACAGAGACATGGTGCTGCGCATCTGCCACATGCACGCCAGGTGGGGTGGGGGGAAGAAAAGGGGAGTGGGGGGAGTGGGGAGAGAGGGGGGAGTGGGGGGAGTGGGGGGAACGTGCTGCTAGACTATTGGGCGGACAGAGACATGGTGTTGCGCATATGCCACATGCACGCCAGGTGGGGGATGGGGGGGAAAGAAAAGGGGAGTGGGGGGAACGTGCCGCTGGACTACAGAGAGGACCGAGACATGGTGCTGCGCATCTGCCACATGCACGCCAGGTGGGGAAGGGGAACGCACATGTGTGGAGGAGATGAGTGGTGGGAATGGGAGGAAGGGGGGCGAGGGTGGTGTTGTGGGCCTGTTGGAGCAAAGTCGTTGGGTGATACTGGTGCAGCGACGAGGTGACTTTTGAGTCGACTCAAAAGTCGCCTCGTGGAGCAAAGCGAAGCCATTGGGTGATAGTGGTGCAGCGATGTGAGGATGGCGACGTGGTGCTGCGCATCTGCCACATGCACCCGCCCGGTGGGGAGGGGAGAGGATGGTGTGGTTTGGGTGCTGCTGGTGTGATGGGGTGTTGTTGGTGATGCTGTTGGTGCTTGTGTGATGGGAGTGGGTGTGGTGGTGGCATACCATCGCTGGTTCTCTCTTTCCCTCTCCCTCTCGTTCTCCTTCTCCCTCTCCCTCTCCCTCTCCCTCTCCCTCTCCCTCTCCCTCTTCCTCTCCCTCTCCTTGCGCACCTACCAGGGAGGAGGCAGCATGTGACGAGGCGGAGTTAACACCACTGGAGACGTGATGCTGGCATGCAATCAATGGTTCTGCTCTCCTTCTCTTATCCTCCTCGCCATCTCCATGTGGGCCTGGCAGGGAGGAGGCAGCATGTGACGAGGCGGAGTTGACACCGCTGGCCCTGGCACAGAAGAAGATGCAGATGCAGCTCATGCAGCAACACGTGAGTGCAGCGCCACAACCAACATCCTTGTGCCCGTGCCCGTGCCCGTGCCCATGCCCATGCCCATGCCCATGCCCATGCCCATGCCCATGCCCATGCCCATGCCCATACCCATGCCCATGCCCATGCCCATGCCCATGCCCATGCCTATACCCATGCCCATGCCCATTCCTGTAAGTTTTTATCTCAGTTGTTCAAGCCGCACACTGCCAGTAGACAAGCGTCTAGATGCATAAAAACACACAAATGCAAATCCCCGCACACATACACACACACACACACATACACACAACACACGCAGAATCTTCCCTTACTCTTCTTCCAAACCGCCCATCCCCGCACCCACACTCCCTTTCCCCCGTTTCCCCCCTTTCCTCAGCAACTGACTGTGCTGCAGCATGTGCGCACACTGCCAGTGGACGAGCAGAGGGCGTTCCTGCAGTCAGTGCAGAGCAATGTGCAGCAGGCGCAGGAGCAGACACGCACACGTGCGAACATGCACACATACACCCACATACGCACCTCCCCCCTTCCCCTCCTCCCTCTCTGTTTCTCTTCCCCTGCTCCTCCTCCCCCCCACCCCCCTTAACATTCATTCCTTTTACAACCTTTCCAACCCACTGTTCTCCCTTGTTCCTCTCCCCCTCTCCCCCCCACCAGCAACTGACTGTGCTGCAGCATGTGCGCACACTGCCAGTGGACGAGCAGAGGGCGTTCCTGCAGTCAGTGCAGAGCAATGTGCAGCAGGCGCAGGAGCAGACACGCACACGTGCGAACATGCACACATACACCCACATACGCACCTCCCCCCTTCCCCTCCTCCCTCTCTGTTTCTCTTCCCCTGCTCCTCCTCCCCCCCACCCCCCTTAACATTCATTCCTTTTACAACCTTTCCAACCCACTGTTCTCCCTTGTTCCTCTCCCCCTCTCCCCCCCACCAGCAACTGACTGTGCTGCAGCATGTGCGCACACTGCCAGTGGACGAGCAGAGGGCGTTCCTGCAGTCAGTGCAGAGCAATGTGCAGCAGGCGCAGGAGCAGACACGCACACGTGCGAACATGCACACATACACCCACATACGCACCTCCCCCCTTCCCCTCCTCCCTCTCTGTTTCTCTTCCCCTGCTCCTCCTCCCCCCCACCCCCCTTAACATTCATTCCTTTTACAACCTTTCCAACCCACTGTTCTCCCTTGTTCCTCTCCCCCTCTCCCCCCCACCAGCAACTGACTGTGCTGCAGCATGTGCGCACACTGCCAGTGGACGAGCAGAGGGCGTTCCTGCAGTCAGTGCAGAGCAATGTGCAGCAGGCGCAGGAGCAGACACGCACACGTGCGAACATGCACACATACACCCACATACGCACCTCCCCCCTTCCCCTCCTCCCTCTCTGTTTCTCTTCCCCTGCTCCTCCTCCCCCCCACCCCCCTTAACATTCATTCCTTTTACAACCTTTCCAACCCACTGTTCTCCCTTGTTCCTCTCCCCCTCTCCCCCCCACCAGCAACTGACTGTGCTGCAGCATGTGCGCACACTGCCAGTGGACGAGCAGAGGGCGTTCCTGCAGTCAGTGCAGAGCAATGTGCAGCAGGCGCAGGAGCAGACACGCACACGTGCGAACATGCACACATACACCCACATACGCACCTCCCCCCTTCCCCTCCTCCCTCTCTGTTTCTCTTCCCCTGCTCCTCCTCCCCCCCACCCCCCTTAACATTCATTCCTTTTACAACCTTTCCAACCCACTGTTCTCCCTTGTTCCTCTCCCCCTCTCCCCCCCACCAGCAACTGACTGTGCTGCAGCATGTGCGCACACTGCCAGTGGACGAGCAGAGGGCGTTCCTGCAGTCAGTGCAGAGCAATGTGCAGCAGGCGCAGGAGCAGACACGCACACGTGCGAACATGCACACATACACCCACATACGCACCTCCCCCCTTCCCCTCCTCCCTCTCTGTTTCTCTTCCCCTGCTCCTCCTCCCCCCCACCCCCCTTAACATTCATTCCTTTTACAACCTTTCCAACCCACTGTTCTCCCTTGTTCCTCTCCCCCTCTCCCCCCCACCAGCAACTGACTGTGCTGCAGCATGTGCGCACACTGCCAGTGGACGAGCAGAGGGCGTTCCTGCAGTCAGTGCAGAGCAATGTGCAGCAGGCGCAGGAGCAGACACGCACACGTGCGAACATGCACACATACACCCACATACGCACCTCCCCCCTTCCCCTCCTCCCTCTCTGTTTCTCTTCCCCTGCTCCTCCTCCCCCCCACCCCCCTTAACATTCATTCCTTTTACAACCTTTCCAACCCACTGTTCTCCCTTGTTCCTCTCCCCCTCTCCCCCCCACCAGCAACTGACTGTGCTGCAGCATGTGCGCACACTGCCAGTGGACGAGCAGAGGGCGTTCCTGCAGTCAGTGCAGAGCAATGTGCAGCAGGCGCAGGAGCAGCGCGCGCAGGGAAAGGAGAAGCCTCTGGTTCAGCGCGATGTGTGGGAGACATTGTTGCAGCAGTGGCAAAAGCAGTTCAACCAAACATGCTAACTGGCCGGCAGTCAGTGCAGAGCAATGTGCAGCAGGCGCAGGAGCAGCGCGCACAGGGGAAGGAGAAACCACTGGTTCAGCGCGATGTGTGGGAGACGCTGCTGCAGCAGTGGCAGAGGCAGTTCAACCAGACGTGCTGATTGGCCGGTTTGGTTCGGTGTTTAAGGGCTGGAGAGGAATGAGGATAGACATCGTCTTTTCTGTAAAAGAGTGTGTGTGGGGCCTGGTTTTCAGGTGCTGGAAAAAGTGGTGGTTTCTTCTGTGGGAAAATTGGAAAGCTATGAGCGTGTAGAGGAATGGAACTTCTAACGAGTTGAGTTTGATGTAAATTTGGCGAAAGGATTGTTGTCGAAACCAACAAACACCTTTCGTACATGCAAGGGCGCAATAATCGGCTAGCCCGCTGTTCAGGTTACCCTCAGCAGCATCCTCGCGATGACGATACGATCACGTTCGCGAAAAGTATGTTTAGGGGCGCTGGGTTTAGGGCATAGGGGCGTTGTCGATTGCATAGGGGCATTGGGTAGTCTGGTCCACTTGAAATTCGAATCTCTCACATTCCCGCTTGCGTTGCCATTTCGCAGAAAGGCGGAGAGAGAATGGGTGCGAAGTGATTTGGAGCTGCGTGGAGGTCGCATGTAGACTCCGCGGCTCTCCACGGGCCGTCTCTAGAATTTTATTGCTTCGCAAGCGACATGGAGGCATCTCTGCTCGCGACTGGGACCCGTTCGCCGCGTCTCGCGTCGCACGCTCCCTCCGGAACTTCTGGTGCAACCACTGCTGCTGCTGTTGCCAGCTGGCATCGCGCTGCGGCGCGGTACGGGGTCGCGGAGCGCGTTGGCGTAAGAAGGCATCACAGTAACGGTCATGATGGTAGCGGGGATAATGGTTACTACTGCCACGGTGGCGACAATAACAATCGGTATTCGCAATTCCGCATCACAAGCGCGGGAGCGCATGTCGGTTGCGCGCGGAGGAGAGCGTGCACGACCACGACCGCTTCGCCACTTGCGCACCCGCGGCCACGAGACTATTCCCGTCTGCTTCCTCCCTCCCGCGCCCACGGCGGCTCTCCCGCTTCGTCCTCTTCATCCGATCCCGCGCCGTCTGCCCCTCCTCTTCCTCCTCTTCCTCCTCCTCTCGCCGTATCCCGCTCCCCGCGCGCGTTCCTCCTCCCCCTCGCTCTCTCCGCATGGCTGTTCCTCCTTGCCATCTCCGCCTGGCTTCTCCCCCTACTCCCCCTCTTCTCCCCCTTCGCCCACCCCGCGCCTCCGCCACTCCTCCCCCCTGCGCCCTCCCACCACTCGCTCTCCTCTCTCCCCTCCCGCGCCTCCCTTCCCTCGCTCCCCTCCTACCCCCTTGCGCCCGTTCCCCCTTCCGCGTCCCCCGCCCCTAGCGCCCCCCTCCGCTCGCCGTTCCCGCGCTTCCCGCATCTCGTGGGCCTAGTAGACGACACGGAGCCGCTCTTCGCGGAGGCGGCGCGGCAGATGGCGGTCACGGGGGACTGGGTGACGCCGCAGTTCAACGCGCACCCGCGCTTCGACAAGCCGCCCCTCTCCTACTGGCTCATGGCCGCCGCGCTGAGGAGTTTTGGCGGCGGCGCGTTGCTGGACGGAACAGCTTTTGAGGCGCCTCACAAGCCGCCCCTCTCCTATTGGCTCATGGCCGCCGCGCTGCGGAGCCTGGGCGGCGGCGCGTTGCTGGGCGGAGCAGGGGGAGCAGCAGGCGGAGCAGCAGGAGGAGCGGTAGGGGCGGCAGGGGAAGCAGCAGGGGCAGGGGCGGGAGGGGGAGTGGCAGGAGCGGAAGCAGCAGCAGCGGCGGCGGCAGCGGCAGCGGGAGTAGCGGCGTTGCGTGTGCCTTCGGCTCTGTGCCTCTCCTTCACGCTCGCTCTCCTCTCCCTCACCGCCCTCCGCTTCGGCCTCTCCCAACCCCACACCCAATCCCAGCAGCAGCAGCAACAGCAGCAACAGCAGCAACAGCAACAGCAGCAACAACAGCAACAGCAGCAGCAGCAGCAGCAGCAGCCCCAGCAGCAGCAACAGGAGCAAGAATCACCTCCTCAAACGCCACCCTCTCCCCATCCCCTGCACTGGGCAGCAGCGGTAACCATCGCGCCCATATTCGCGCTGTCCCTGGGCCCCTTCCTGTGGGGCTCTGTGGCCGTCTCAGACGCGCCCTTCCTCGCCTCCACCGCCACTGCCATCCTCACCTTCTTCTGGGCCTATGCCTCTCACGGCCCCTCCCACAATGACCCCTCTCCCCGCTCCTCCCCCCGCTCCTCTTCCCTCTCCTCCCCCGCCTCCGCCCTTTACCTGCTCTCTGCCTTTTCCCTCGCAGCAGCCTGCCTCACCAAGGGTCCCTTGGGCGTGCTCCTTCCCTGCCTCGTCCTCTCCCTCTTCCTCACTCTCACCGGAACCCTCTCCCTCCGCTCCCCTCTCGCCTTCCTCTCCTCCCTCCGCTCTTTCCTCCTCTTCGACCTCCCCTTCCTCCCCTGCGCTCTCCTCTTTCTTCTCACCGCCCTTCCGTGGTTTGTCGCTATGGGAAAGCGGCATGGGAGCATGTATATAAGCACGTTCTTTGGGTATCACCACTGGGAGAGATTCGCTAAGGGGGTGAACCACCACGGGAACAGGCCGGTTCTGTACCCGTTATTAGCCTGCCTGCTGTTGTACTTCCCATGGTCCTTGCTCTTCCCCCCTGCGTTTCTACACACGGCCACCGCTGCTGCACGAGCGGTCATGGATCGATACGGATGGAGGAGAAAGGCAGATCAAGCGAAAGAGAATGGATTCGAGAAGAGGATGTGGACGGAGATAGTTGCTGGAGGGGATGGGGGGGATTCAGGAATTGGGGAAGCAGGGAAGGAGGAGGCAAGACGGGGGGATGATCTGGTTCTACTGGGACTGGCGTGGGTGGTGGCTGGTTTCGGCTTGCTCGCTCTCTCTCGCTCCCAGCTCCCCTCCTACTATCTTCCCATCGCGCCAGGTGTCGCAATCGTATTGGCCGCAGGGCTCCTGAGACCAAACTTGCCACAAAGCAACTCTCACGATTTGCAAACCGTCTCTCACTCTCCCCGTTCTCCTACCAGCCTGGAAACCACACAACCTTCCAGAACACCTACACTCTCCCTCCATCCCTCCCCTCCTCCTCTTCCCCTCTCCGGCACCCCTCTCTCTGCCTTTCTCTCGGCCTCTGTCTTCTCGCTCCTCTCTCTCTCCTTCGCACTCCTGCCGTTGCTGCTCCAGCAGCAAGCAGTAGGGGACCCCAAGGCAGCGGCTACAGTAGCAGCGATTGTCAGGGATGGGCTGCATCAGCGTGCTTCTGCGCTCTTTGCTGCAGCTGCTGTCTCCTGTGCTGCCGTTGCTGCTCTCGCCGCCGCTTCTGGCAAAGCCTCTTCCACTCCTGCCTCTCGCTCCTCCTCATCCCCTCCCTCCCCTTCCTCCCCCTCCTCCTCTCCCTCCCTCTCCTCCTCTTCCTCCTCTCCCCGCTCCCCCTCTCCCGACTTACCCCGCTTGCTCCGCCTCTCCCCCATCTCCCCTCTGCTGCTCATCCACTCAGCTTTGGTCCTCCTGCTGCTGCCGCTCTTCCTGCGCGCCTCGCTCCTCATAGCAGACTCAGTCCTGCAACGCCCCTCCAGGGAGCTTGCTCTCATTGCGGCCTCCCTGCCGCCCCCTCTGCACTCGCACTTGGGTAGAGCAGGGAAACCGAGAGCGGCAGCAGCAGTGGCAGAAGCAGCAGTGGGAAGAGGAGTAGCAGCAACAGCACCCGCAGCACCATCAACAGCAGCAGCAGCATCACCACCCCCAGCAGCAGCAACAGCAGTGGGGGAGGCGATGGTGATGGTGGGTGCGCGCATGCCGAGCGTGGTGTTCTACTCGCAACGACCCGTGGCCTTTGTGGAGTCACAGCAGCACGCACACAGCGTGCTCGAGGGGCTTGCTGCTAGGGTGAGATCACAGCGAGAGAGGATCGGGGCAAGGAATGGGGAGGCAATGAATGGGGAGATGAGTGGGGAGGGGAGTGATAAGGGAAGAGGGGAGAACAAGAGAGCGGAGGGGAGTGGGGGGGGCAGGGGAATGGAAGGGGGGGGAGTGGAGTCGGTATTAGTGCTGGCAGAAGAGGCACATGTGGAGGCGTTGCTCTCCCTACCATCCTACCACGGCACTGTCATTGCACGGCAACCTGGCTACGCCTTGCTTCGCCTCCACATGCGCTCTCGCAGTGATGTTTGAGTTGACTCAGAAGAGGCGCACACATGTGGATGCGTTGCTCTCCCTACCATCCTATCAAAGCACCATTCTTGCATGGCAACCCGGCTACGCCTTGCTTCGCCTCCGCATTCTCCCCCACAGTGACTTCTGAAGTTTTTACGCGACTAGAGTCAACTCATACGCGGATTACATGGGTGGGGTGGGGGGCTGCCGAGTGCATTGCTGTGCAACCAGGTGCCATTGTTGCACGGCGTCCCAGCTATGCCTTGCTCTCCTTGTGGTTCCCCACCCCACCTAGGCAAAGCACCATCATTGCACGGCAAGGCAACCCCGGTGTTACCATGACACCTTGCTTCGCCTCGGCTCTTACGGATAGCGAATGGTGCAACGCAAGCAAGCAAAAGACGTACGTAACGTACCTACTGTCTGGTGCTTGCTCAAAGGCTTCGATGCTCAGTGGTGTGGTGGACTGTGCACCTCGCTATTCATTCCATGCAGCACGGAACATACGGTAGTGCAAATCCGGGCAATCAATCCTTCGTGTAAATCAGAGCAATCAATCAAGGTGTTGAACATGGCCCTTGTGCCGCTCGAGCCATTGTAACCGGAATGGTACCAGAAGTAATCCCCCCTGCCAGGCCTCCAAAACCCTAGACCCTAAACCCTCAACCCCGGGAGGCCTGTGCGCAAGATGATGCACCCACTGTACCGTATGCGTCCCCTCAACCACTGCTCGTACTTAGGTTCCACAAAATATACGGTACACCATTATAGCAGATCCTAACGGGAGCACCATATCCCTTTCTAGTACTGTAACGACAGGTCACAGGAGCAAGTCCAGGAAATACATACCGCATCTTGATAGCTTCTTCTTAAGCTTGCCAGGCTTCAATAATCAGTCTATAGCCAGGTGTGGGTTCATAGTAATCTACGAGTAGTGAGAGTTAAGGCTAAACAGCTAGAGGCTGGAGGAGACACACTTGCAGGCAGGCAGAACAGCACAGGTAGACTTCAGATCAGATCTGCACAATCGGTATAAGAATGACACAGAGTATGGGGGCACACCGTACATGCATGAATGGACACATACAGTACCGGCAAGGCTGTGAAATGGGCATGACTAACTACCATCATCCACTCCACACGCCAACTCTTGAAGAGATTAGTATGGGATTGCGCGCAGCAGAATAGACATGCGCATTGGTATGTTGGTGTTGCTTCTCGAATTTCTCAACAGCAGCACCAGAGTACGACGGGCATTGGTACGCTCGAAAACAGCAGGATGAATGCCTCTTCTCGCAGCAAAAGGTGAGGCGGAAAAAGGCATGGATATTGCCTTGTTCTGTAGAGCAGAACATGCACGTAGCTATGTCGGCCCACAGGCTAGTACCACTCCACCCACCCACAGCTATTTTATATGCAGAGAAGAGGCAGACAGATGCAGCAGCAGTTTGTGGTTCTCAAGCTTGCAACGGCCCACAGGCTAGTACCACTCCACCCACCCACCAACCTTCCCCCCCCTTAACCGGTAATCTCCCCTCGGAGCATCAATAAGAAGGATGGGAGCGAAGGAGGGAGGGAGGGAGGGAGGGAGGGAGGGAGGGAGGGAGGGAGGGAGGGAGGGAGGGAGGGAGGGAGGGAGGGAGGGAGGGAGGGAGGGAGGGAGGGAGGGAAGGAGGGAGGGAGGGAGGGAGGGAGGGAGAGAGAGAGAGAGAGAGAGAGAGAGAGAGAGAGGGAGAGAGAGAAGAGAGAGAGAGAGAGAGAGAGAGAGAGAGAGAGAGAGAGAGAGAGAGAGAGAGAGAGAGAGAGAGGAGAGAGAGAGAGAGGAGGTGGGGAGTAAAGCGTGCAAGCCACCTCGCCTCACTTACACCTTCCTTCACACACATTCCCACTCACTTTCTCACTCACTCACAAAAGAACTCCATCAACCAACCAATCAAAAGCTCGCTCACTACAACACTCGCTCACTCAACCTTACAAAGTATATCGGCAAAGGCCATCACTCCAACTCACCTCTTAGCGAGCAGCACTCGTCCCCACCAACACCCCTTGCGACGCTCCCGCCGCTTTGCTCGACTCCGCTCCCCCCGCTCCGCCTCCCGCGCTTCCCCCCGCGCCTCCCCCCGCGCCCCCCTCCGCGCCAGCCCTCCCCCGCGACAGCTCATCCACGGGCCGCACGCGGATGTTAAACCGCGCTTCCAGCGCCGCCAGATCCTGCCGTTTCTTCGCTAGCGTCTCCGCGAGTCGGGTAACCACCGCTTCGAGCGCCGCCGCGTTGCGCGCGACCGCGGGAACCACCTCCCCGATGCGCCGCTCGACCAAAACTCCGCCGACCGCGCGGAAGCAGCGGCGGGAGGGGTCCATGCCCTCGATCGCGGCGGAAACTAGCCGGTGCTCCGCCAATTCCTGCTCGTGCTCCGCGATGCGGGAATAGAGCCGTTGGATTTCTGCGCGTAGCTCGTTCCATCTTCCGATGATCTCTTTTTCTGATGTGAATTTCTCCTCGGCGCCTCCGGAGGTGCCGGCGCCTGTGTCGGCGGGCTTTGCGGAGTCGTCGGTGGGTTTGGGTTGCGAATCCGACGGTTGCGATGGCGTGGTGTCCATGCTCGCAGGATCGGACGATGAATCCATTGCGGAGAAAGGTAAAAAAAAAAACAGAAGTGAGGAAAAAAAAACGTAGACGGATAAAGATGACGCTCGGGGGCAAGGAGATCTACCACAATTCCAACCACGCGTGCCACACCGAGGGGTTGATACAGCGTGAATCGCGCGATTCACGGGTGTAATACGATCCTACGATGACTCGTGCGAAGAGTGAATTGCGGTGAAGTGGCAGAACTGGATAGTCGTGAGGTGAGGAGAGGTGGTGAGGAGTGGCGATCGGAGGTAGGGAGGAAAGAGGGAGAGTTGTGGAAAATCAGAGAATCAGGGCGCGTCACCTGCCTCGATCGACCCTGCGTACAATCGATGTTTGGCATGCTACAGTAAAACTGTAGCGTCGCAGTTTACAGAGATACCCTATTTCGAGACAGTTAACGAATGTACAGTAACAGGTGCATCACGACCTTGTCACCTCCCCCCAACCGTGATGATTGCATCATCTTACACACACCGATTTTGCATGAGCTCCAAGCTCGCGCTCAAAGTGACAGGCAAGATCGATCGCCGTCGCACAGGTTGCAGGGTTACCGGAATCGTCTCATGTTTTTCTCGCAAATCATCCATACGACGGTGCTGCAAATTTTCGCCCAACCATGTCCCCTCGCGCAATACCGAACGCGTCACCCAGGGCTCGAAACCAAGCTGGGATAGATGTTCAGCTGTCACCTCCCCCCAATCGTGCCCCAAACCCACGATCGGTATGCCCGATCGGTTTTTCCTGGCTCCTACGATCGCTGTGAAAAACCAATCGAGAACACCGATCGCAGGATTGGGGCGGGACTGGTAGGAGGTGACAACAGCGGATCGATCTCGATCCCTGGGTGACAGGATCGAGAATACAAGGGGCAAATAAGGGCGTGTAACCATTTTGATTTTTTTTTTTCGTTTTTACTGACTGCTTGTACATTTTTTGAACGGACGGTCCAAAGTCGAGAAAAGAACCGTCCGTATTGACGTTTCGGAACTTTGGCCCGTCCGGATGGAAATGTGACAACTTTTTCGTGTTGTACAGTTTCGCGATTACTGTAGCTTCGTTCAAGACTCTGTATCTTTATAATTGTTTTCGTCACATCTTGCAGTCAAAGTTCACGAGCCTATCAGTCGAGGACCTCGGGCAAAGCGGAACAAGGGCACGCCGTAGCAGCCGGCCTTCCTCCCGCGGAAGTCGCCATCGTCGACCCGTACTGGGCAACTCGCGGCACCTGCTGGGGAGGTCCTCCTCTTCCAGATCAGTACGCCCCTGACACACCCGAACCAATGCCAGAAGAGTCAGAGGAAGAGGAGACCTACGAATTCACGGGGGAACCAGCAGAATTACCCGAACCTTCCGAGGAGCCAGAGCCGCCGGTACAAGGACCCCAAGAAATTGAAGTCATTGGTGCTGAATACAGTTACTACAGGATCCCCATGTCGGGACTCCCCGCTCGGGACTGGCCCGATCGATCCCTGCTTGTCACCGGAGACCACGTCGAAGCTGGCGATACCGACGACATCATCGGTATTCCCCGCGCACTTCTGGAGAGAAAGGCAATTCGCGCACTCGCCTCTGACACGAACAACGCCGCTGACGCAGGACCTGAAGGGGAGGCAAACGACGAGGCAGCACGGCAAAAATATTATCAGAAGACAGTCGGTTACCGTGCGGACCCAGCAACATGGCACCAGCGGCTCGGACATCCTTCTCACGCAACACTCAAAAATTCACTCAAGGCTGGAGTCTTCGACGACGACGCGCTTCTCCTCCCGCGAAACGGCTCCCTCAACGCAGACTCTCCCAATCAGCCATGCATCGTCTGCCCGACTGCATCCCTCAATCACAAGCCGTTCCCTGACTTACCACCGGGCTACGAACGCTACAAACCGCTGGATAAGGTCTACAGCGACTTCCTAGTGCTTAATCAACCGGGGCTTGACGGGGAGCAGTACACGCTTACCTTCATCGACGCTTCTACACGCTACGTTTGGGCCATCAACACCGACTGCAGGTCACTGGCCTTCGAGTGCTTTATTGTGTGGATGAAGCGAGTTGAGCGACAGTCTGGGCTCAAACTCAAGGCCTGGCAGACGGACGGAGGTCTGGAGTTCTTCTCAGACGAGTTCAAGGAACTCTTCAAGCAGAAGGGGATTGAGCACCTGGTGTCCCTGCCCTACGCTCACCAACAGCAAGGCGTAGCAGAACGGACAAACAGGAGCCTCGCCACGCGGATGAGGGCCCTGATGAAGCAGTCGGCCATCCCAACCAAATACTGGCCGTTTGCGATGAATCACGCTGTTCGGCTGCACAACTTGCTGTCCTCGCGAAGCCTCAAGGACAACAATTCTCCTTACCGGGCATGGACGGGCAGAAAGGCAGACACACGTCTGCTTCGGGTGTTCGGCTGCATGGTACAGTACAGACCCCACACTGCGAGGACGGGAAAATTTGCAAACCAGGCACGATGGGGCATCCACCTCGGAATCGAAAAGGAATACAAGGCGTGGATCGTGCTGGACTACGCGACACACGAGGTGACGAAATCACGTGACTGCATCTTCTACGAGAAGCTGACTCTGCTGCTTTTCAAGGAGCACCAGGAAGCCGACAAACTGCCAGAGAGGCACTTTGAGGGCCACCGCAGTTTCGCCACGTCACACGACGAAGCTGACCTGGCGGAAGATGCAGGCGCACCTGATGTCACCAAAAAGGACTCCGCTCCGAACATCCCCCTTACGAGCCAATTCGGAACTCCGATATTCGTGCCCGTACACCAACCCGATCCGGACGATATAACACGCGAAGCTCATGACTACAACAGCGAAGCGCGCCGATCACCTGATGTCGAGTTACCACAACCCAACCTGTCGCAAGACACCCTCCGCCTCGGCAACGACAGTGATGACGACGTGGTCGAAGTTACCAGCTTCCACGACTACGATCGCCTTCACTACGAAAAGACCAACGAAACTGGTCTTCGCGTTCTCGGCCTCGCCGTCGCTGTTCGCCACACCTCGCCAAAGGAACCAACCATCGTCCGTCAAGCACTGTCCGGTCTCGACAGTGACAAATGGAGAGCAGCCATGGCCGCCGAAATCGCGTCGCTGAAGAAGCGCGGCACCTGGAAGCTGGTCCCACGGTCATCGGCAAAGGGGAGAAAAATTCTCAGCGGGAAATGGGTTTTCCGCATCAAAACTCTCGCCGATGGCTCGATCGACAAGTACAAGGCGCGCTGGGTGGTGCGGGGATTCGAGCAAACTCACCTGGTGGACTTCACCCTCACCTACGCTCCAGTCGGCCGTCACACCTCGGTGCGCATTCTCATCTGCATCGCCGCCGTCAAACAGCGACCGCTCCGGCAAATCGACGTCGGAAGCGCCTTCCTGTACGCTCCCGTCGATGCCATCATCTTCGTCGAGCAGCCGCACGCATTCGAAGAAAGCGACGGTGCCGTGTGCCTCCTCCAAAAGTCTCTCTACGGAATCAAGCAAGCTCCTCGTCTGTGGCAGCAGTACCTGCATTCCGTCCTCCTTGAGCTCGGCTTCACTCAACTGCCGCACGATCTCGGAATGTACAGGCGGGAGTCGCGCGGAAAGTTCATCCTCCTCGTCGCCTACGTCGACGACCTTCTCTACACCGGGGACGACACGGAGCTGCTCGACCAATTCGAGGCTGACATCAAGGAGAAGCTGGAAGTGACCGTCAACCACAACGTCACTCAGTTCCTCGGCCTCAACGTCACTCAGTCCGCCTCCTCCATTCACCTCTCCGCCGCCAAATACGACGAGACACTCGCGAAGCGGTTCGCCATCGCACCCATCAACCTCACCACCCCTTACCGCACTCCTCCTCCTAACCACGAGCCCGACACCACCCCACTCTCTCCCGACGATCATCGTCTCTACCAGCAGTAGCTGGGCTGCCTCCTGTTCGCCGCCGTCACGTGCCGGCCCGATCTCTCCTATGTTGCTAGCCAGCTCGCACAGTACCTGAAGCGACCTGAAGGGGAGAATCTACTGGATCTACGCCAAGCACTTCAGTATTTCATCTCCACTCCCGACGTCGGCCTCACCTACGAAGCTAACCTCACCGCTACTCTGCAACTTCATGGCTACGTGGATGCTGATTATGCTGGAGATGTTGACAACAGACGCTCCCGCACAGGATTCATTTTCCAACTCCAACCTGCTGGACTCATCTCCTGGAACTCTCAGAAGCAGGAACTCATCGCTCTTTCGTCAGCTGAAGCAGAATTCATCGCAGCTAGCGCAGCTGTTCGCGAAGGACTGTACCTGATGGAGCTCCTGCAAGAGGCGAAAGTGACGATGAACGGGCACTTCACGTTACTCTGCGACAATCAGAGCGCGATAAAGATCGCAAACAAGCCCGGCTTCGTCAACCGCACCAAGCACATCGGCCTTCGTTACTTCTTCGTGAAGGACGAAATCGACAAGGGGAGAGTCAAGCTGACGTACTGCCCGACCGGTGACATGGCAGCCGATTTCCTGACGAAGAAACTGCCACGTCAGCAGTACCAGCACTGCGCCGACCTCTGCGGGATCACCAAGAAATCCCACGTGGCCCACCTTCAGGAATGAAGGGGAGTGTTGGAATAACCGAAAGGTTATTTAAGCATTCCCGGAGTTGTTCCACTGTACCAGTACCGCAATAGCTCATATAGAGCATGTCGAATATCGAGGGTCACCCGAAGGTCAACCGTCCAAGGAAGTCAACGGTCGTGACCCTTGACGATCCGGTAACCGCGCGACAGTTAACTGACTGCAACACGGTAACTGTCGAGGATAGCAATAGTCGCGGTTACTGTAGCTATGCAATACAGTTAATAAGGGAATGTACCCCTCAGAGTACATGGCTAGTTAGTTGCTATTTAATTCCTTGTACTCCTATCTTTTAATCATCTTGTTCTCTTTTATTATTATTCAACAAGGTCACTACAGAGACTTCACTG